AGATAAAAGCTGTACCCTATTTAAAAACAGAAGGAAAAAATAGTTTCAGCATTAAGGCAACATCTAATCGTTCTTTTGAACATCAACAAAAGAAAGCGCCTAGCGGATCGAGTAGGAACCTGAGGTGGCCTCCACAACCATCGCTACCAGAGATCATCCACCTCAGGCACTGCTTCGCCTACTCTGAGAACACGCTCAAGACCAATTACTACCGTCCTCATTTTCCACCTACCCGGACCCGACGGCCAAAACATCCCAATTATCAATTTAACCCTTTATTCATCACAGGGCATGAAAGAAATTAGAACCCCAATTTGTTAGCTAAAAGAGGCTTTGAACTTCCTAAAATCATCTGAGACAGCTGAGCCCAGGACTCGCCAAGGTGGCTTGCCAAGGTCAGACCACCACTTTAGGTGGGAGCAGAGGTCCATCAACATAGTGGATGGTCCCTGCCGAGTGCAGGGATTTTCCCACCTCTCTGAAGGTAAGCAAGGATGTTCAAAAGATGAGACAGTTAAACTCAAACCACCTAACTCTGCTTCCATCAGTCCCCACCGCCTTGGACTGCCTCAGCGACAGTGCTATCTTAGGGGTCAGGAAAAACTTAAAGGTACAATAGGGATCTATCTACATTTTTGTGCAAAACCATATGAAAGGCATTTCTCCTTATTATTAGGCATGTTATTTTTTTAATACAATGCTACTTTCTAGAAACAAATTTGCTATTCCCTATGAGTAAGGGTCCTGGTGGCATCGTGTCAACGTACTATAGTGTTCTACACGTTTGTAGTCGCCTATCATCGCTGGGATGGATGGTAATCAAAATTAGCTCATCACGCAGTGTAAACCAATTACCTTTTGGAACATCTTGCAGATCTCGGTACCAGGAAATTGGAATCCCAGATTTAGTAACACCTTTCATATACGCGGGGGATCCAGGATTTCGCTCTAGAGGGACCTTCTCTTCAGTCAGTGTTAATGCTTGAATCTCACTCAGTTTTTCGCTCACCTCTACCAGATGTATTGAAATGTCACAGTTTTTCAGCACAGATCCCAGCTGACTGAACACCTAAATACAAAAAGAAAGAAAAAAATGGCAAAATACAATGTGTTGAGTAGATTTTAGGTTTTCTAACCATTTCCCTTAACACTTTGCTCATGTCACAGAAGTAAAATTTGGTTTCAGAGGAACTTCACACAAGCCACTCTTCAGCAGTCCGTGAGATTCATAAGCTATCAGTTATTACAGTCTACATGAAAGACGAACAATGCACAATTTGGTTTCCTAATGAGAAAAATTAGAATTAAGACTAACAAACAAACATTAACGATTCAGCATCCAGTAAATAATCAGACTAGGGAGTCTAAAGAGAGAACAAAAACATGAAATGTATATATCCCCCTGATTTTATGAAGCTGCTATGTCTATGAAATAATCTCATCTTTGAGATGTTTCAACTGTGTTCTCAGGAAATCAAATTCGAAGGGCACTAAAAACTTGACAGTTTAACTTCGCAGTTCTTTCAATTTTTAATTTTTTTTAGCCACACACATTTATAACTGTTGTAAACATGAAGAAAAAAGGAGTACACTGATATTTTATCATTATCTCAATGCTAAAAATTCAATGCCAAGGCATAAAGTACGCCAATAGTATTTTTCATTTGAATGTAATTTTCACTGCTGATTTGCCTCCTATTTTTGAGATCTGAATAAGCAGGTATAGGCTAATAATAAGACAATTTTTCCAAATTTCGTTTGGAAATGAAACTACAAATGGAAAACTTCCCAAGAGAAAAATCCTTCAGAAATTATGATCAAAAAATGAAAACAAGTCCGTAATTATGTCTTTGTCCATTTTCTTAACATTCTTTTAAATTCTTTAGCTTTTTAAAGTTCTTAGGACTTGATCTAAAGAAGCATCCTGTATGCATTTTAAGAGCTGTGGGCTTGATTTTTATTGTACCTGAAACAAGACAATATTATTTGAGAACCTTATTAAGTATTTTGTATTCAAATGACTTTGCCAATTTAAAGCGATAAAATAGAACACTGGAAACCTAAAACAGTGGTTCATTTCTTTTACCCCCAAATATGATATAATCAGGATTATCTGTCAGATGTTATACGTTTTTTAAAATCCTTTGATTCCAAATTTCAAGCAAAAATCATACTGCATCAAGACATTCAAATGTATACTGAATATGTGTTTTTGTTTTTAAAAGCCTAATGGATTCCAAAACAGTGTAACTACAAAAGTTTAACAAACACAATTACTTATCATGTACTATAAACAATATTCCTCCTCTTTAGTGTTTTTACAAAACATTAGGTAGAGTGCTAGAAACAACAATACATGGAAAGATACCGCATCTTTGGTTAAGTGACACGACCCTTCCCTTCGAAAACGTGTCCTCCCTCACCCTCAGATGCCACCACCATCATTTCCTGCTTTTTCTTTATAAATGTTCCTAATTGCATTTGTATCACCAAACACAAATTGTTGAATGTTGACATTTGGGGATTTTATATAGATACAATCATATGATCCGGATTCTTTTACAAATTGTTATTTTCACTCACGAGACTCTGAGGTCCATCTGAGTGTTGTGCATTCTGCTGTGATTTCATGCAGTTTCACAATCCTTGATGTTCCACTGTGTGTCTGACTGTACCACAATTTAATGATCTATTTTCCCATTGATAGGCATTTGGGTTGTTTCCATTTTTTTTGCTCTTCTAAACAATGCTGCTGTCTTCTTGACCATGTTTCCTGGTACACATCTGCACTAGCTCCTGTAGGGCACACGTCTAGCAGTAAAAGTGCTGCTGGCTCATACAGTATGTTACTGTGACGTTAGCAGACGATGCCCAATAAGCACTTCTCAAAGTGCTTACCCCAAATTACACTCTTACAAACAGTGTCTGCGAGTCCCCATTGCTCCCCATCTCTCCATCTTCAACAACCCTTGGTGATGCCAAATGTGCTAATCTTGCGGACACAGTGGTATCTCACTCTGATTTTAACTTTCATTTCCTTGACTACCAATCAGTCTGAGCATCTTTTTGTTTTTACTGCCCATGAGGACTTCCTCTTTCATGAAGGGCCTGTTCACATCTTTAGCCTGACTTTTCTACTGAGTTATCTGTCACCTTCTTAATGATTGAAAGGAATTCTTCATGTATGCTAACTACCAGTTCTTTATGTGTTGCAAAGAACTCCTCCCATTTTGCAGCTTGTCTTATCACTCTCTTTATGTGTCTTTTGAAAATTTTTTTTAATGCTTGTTTATTTTTGAGAGAGAACCAGAGCATGAGCGGGCGAGGGGCAGACAAAGAGGGCTCCAGGCTCTGAGCTGTCAGCACAGAACCTGACGCGGGGCTGGAACTCACAGACCATGAGATCATGACCTGAGCTGAAGTCGGACGCTAAACCAACTGAGCCACCCAGGCGCCCCTACAGTGTCTTTGAAGAATAAAAAATTCCTAATTTCTTTAAAGAACAATAACTTCTTAAATTTAATGTAGTTGAAATTATCCCTCTATTCACCTTTACCTTTACGGCTTCTACCTTTATATAATTCACAAATTCTTTTCCCACCTAGAAGACAAATATATTCTCCCATGATGTCTTCTAAAGGTTTTAAACTTTTCCCTTTCACATTCTCCTCTACCCTCACTTTTTAGATTACAAACAGACAACAATAAGTAATGATTCATTATATCATTCTGACATTGTATTTTAGCGGAGAAAGAGGAGGTAAGGAGGGAGGACCAAAAGCCACTGAAGTCAATGAAGTTTGCAAACAAATCAAAAGAACAAAGGTTCAGGCAAGTACACGAGACTCTGAAGACGTTCCTTTTATTACTTACCCTCAAAATATCTCCCAAGAGGGTACCCCTGCCTGGGCCCAGTTCCACCAGTTGGAAAGCTGCATTTCTTCCAGTGGCCATCCATTCACTAATGAACCATATACCTAGCAGCTGGGACAAGGAAAAAAAAACTATACTGAAATATTATAGCGTAAAAGTATATAAAACTCCAAGGAAATATGCATTTTATGCCAGAAAGCAAAATATTTGCCAATGACCACATGTATGTCATTTACTATGTACATATATGTATGCACACCCAGAAGCCTCATGGAGGCGGCATTACAAAAGACACCACTTAGGAAGCCTAGTAACAGAGCACCATTAAAAGGCAGCCCCACTGTAAGAGGTCCCCTGACACAAGGAAGAGGCTAGCACTTCCAGAAAGGTGCTGCTGTTGGGACAGCAGACAGACATATGAAATAAGATGATGCCATTTCTTTACATTCATATGACTGATACGATTACATGGCTTTTTAGGCACAATTACCATTTTTAATACCTGGATTCCACTTCCTCTTGTGTACTACTTTCTATTTCTAAATTCATCGGGGGTTTTTATGTGGAAATCAATGAACTGGAATTCCTGAGGAGAATTGAAAATTTGTGAGGGGGGTTTCCACTGGAACTACGGTACAACCACGGCAGGGTGGGGCCTGAGACCACATCTCGCCCCACGAACTCCTCAGGGTTTTGCAACTTTTCTCCCTTCACTTTTCTCTCTCTCTTTTCTCTATTATTCTGTATTCCTCCAGCATATAAATGATTAAAAATTAGAACTTTTGATGAATCACAAAAGCAAAGGTGTAAAAGACTACTTACTACAGAAGAATACAACCTGATCTGCTCTCAAGTGTTTGTGATACTAGCTTTTTTAATTAATGTTTGTTTTGAGAGAGAGAGAGAGAGAGAGAGAGAGGTGTGCAAAGACAGAGGGACAGAGAATCCCAAGCAGGCTTTTTTTGCACCTTTAGCACACAGCCCAACGCAGGGCTCGAGCTCATGAACTGTTAGATCATAACCTGAGCCAAAATCAAGAGTCAGACACTTAACCAACTGAGCCACCTAGGCGCCCAGATATTAGCTTCTTTTATAGTTGAAATTGACGATTACCTCCCCAAAGATCTGACTTATTTCCGGTGAAGTAATGAAATCTCCTTTTTCTCCTAGCATGTCATGATACACGTAATATCCCTGAGTAAAAAGAGAAAGTGGAGAAAATGGATTAACTTTCAAGTAAGTTTTGTAAAACACCCCTCCAGAATCTTACATAATGTATACAATGACATAATCATTTGGTGAGAAAGTTCCGTCTTCTAAATAAACACAATAAGCACTGTGACTTGATTTAAACTTTACACAGTACCAATCACATTGCAGAACTATACTATCCCAACATGACCCCTCCTTGACCATCAAGGCAGAAGCCACACCACATCCATCTCCACACCCGCCAGCCCCTCCCTGCTCCCAACACCCAACACAGTAAGATCCTGCTTACTGTGTTTATATTTCCAAGAAAAGTTTTGTTGTTGTTGTTGTTGTTGTTGTTGTTGTTTTTAATTTTTTTTTTCAACATTTATTTATTTTTGGGACAGAGAGAGACAGAGCATGAACGGGGGAGGGGCAGAGAGACAGGGAGACACAGAATCGGAAACAGGCTCCAGGCTCTGAGCCATCAGCCCAGAGCCTGACGCGGGGCTCGAACTCACGGACCGCAAGATCGTGACCTGGCTGAAGTCGGACGCTTAACCGACTGCGCCACCCAGGCGCCCCAGTTGTTGTTTTTTTTTTAATTAGCCCTCTTTGTCCACAAATCCATGCCACTGCAGATGCTCTCCTTTCTCCCTGCCTGTTTCTCCCTGGCAATCTTACACTCAATAAAAGTGAATATCTGCTCAAATGTCACCTTCCCTGACCTCCTCCTCCAGCCCTCCAACTTCAGACTAAATGCAGTGCTTCCTTTTATGTGCTTATTTATTTATGTATCTGTGTTCCTCACCAAGAAACACAGTTATTCGGGATAGAGAACTATCTTATTTACCATACTATTCCAAGTTTCAGAATACTGTCTAAACTTCAAGAAATACTCAAGAATTCTGTTAAAAATTCCTCTATGCTCCTCAAGCCCCTTCTTTCACCATCTTACTCTTTGCAGGTGACCTGGGCTCCGGTCTACACAGGAAGTAACGAATGTTACAAAATAGGACTGACTCAGCTTCCTGACCCCAACTGGCCTCCACCTGCTCCCATTCGTTCCTCGGAACTCAAAGGATGAAATGCCTTCACCTTCTGCTCTTACCCAAACCTAATCCCACCACCTGTGCTCTGGACCACTGCCTCTCCTCACACAGCCCTCATAGGCCAGGATCTTGTTATCATCCCCTTCTCTTATAGCTTTAACTTCCCTCTCTCAGCAGCAGAAATATATTTGAGTCACTCTCAACTTAAAAAAAAACAAACAGAAAACAACTTTTCACTTCATACAGCATCTCCCCCTCTAGCCTCTCTCTTCATAAGTGAAGATTGCAGGGATGTTTTTGTGGTGCATTACAAACCACTCTGGTAGCCTAATGAAGGCTATGGATCCCTTCATACAATGTTTTTAAATGCAAGACTTTAAAACACATAGGGTTAAAAAAAAAAAAAGAAAAATACTTATCCAATATTTAAAAACTAAACTGATGATATAATAATATATATGCAGCTTTAGAGGTATGTTAATAAAGCCAAACTTAAGGTCCAATAAGTAACAAAGTTTTGAAATACGGATGAGCACAATGGTATTGTGAGATACCTACGATCACTCTGTTGGGTATGACAACATCAGTGATTTCCACTAATGTTAAAGTCACAGGTATTACTGATGCCACAGGATGTCTCCTCTGTTCATAATGAGAGAAATGCTAACTTTCAGAAGCTAAGGAGGTAAATGCAAATTAAACCCACGAGATACCACCTCATGTTAGGTCACCATCAAAACCACAAGAGATGACAAATGTTGGTGTGGATGTGGAGAAAAGGGAACCCTTGTGCACTGTTGGTGGGACTGTAAAATGGTACAGCCACCATGGAAAACAGTATGGAAGATCCTCAAAAACTTTAAAATAGAATACCATATGATTCAGCAATTCCACTTCTAGAATATATCCAAAGAAAATGAAAACACTACCTCGAAAAGAGACCTGCACCTCCATGTTCGCAGCAGCATTGTCTATAACAGGCAAGACATGGCAACAGCCTGTGTCCATCAATGGATGAATGGATAAAGAAACTGTGGTATATAAACAGGAGGGCACATGCAGCCACACAAGGGATATCCTTGGAGCATCTGGTTCTGGTGACCAGGGGAGACCGCACATAAGGTACCAGAAGACCTGTTTTACACAAGGCCACTACTTTCAAGACCAAAAGATGTAGCTGGTTTAACAAATACATATATACAAACACAGAGAGTGAAACAAAATGAGGGGACAGAGGACTATGTCCCAAATGAAAGAACAAAGCAAAATCACAGAAAAAACAGCTAAATGAAACTCAGATAAGCAATAACCCTAATAATAAAGAGTTCAAAGTAATGGCCATAAAGAAACTCAGACTTAAGAGTGAATGAATGCAGTGAGAACTTCACAAGAAGATAGAAAATATTCAAAAAGAACCAGTCAGAGCTGAAGAATATAATAACTAAAATGAAAAATATCCTAGAGGGACTCAACAGCAGATTAGAGGATGCAGGACAGATTAGTAATCCAACTGGGTAATGAAAAGCAAACAAACTGAAGACCAAAAAGAAAAAGAATTTAGGGGTGCCTAGGTGGTTCAGTTGGTTGAGCATACAACTTAGGTTCAGGTCATGATCTCACAGCTCATAGGTTTAAGCCCCACATCGGGCTCTGTGCTGACAGCTCAGAGTCTGAAGCCTGTTTAGATTCTGTGTCTCCCTCTCTCTCTCTCTGCCCCTCCCCTGCTTGTGCTCTGTCTCTCTCTCTTTCAAAATAAATAAACCTTTAAAAAAAATTTTTTTTTAAATGAGAATAAGTTAAAGGAATTCTGCAACATCTTCAGGCATAATAGCATTCACATTATTAGGAATCCCAGAAGGATGAGAGAGAGAGGTTGGCGAAAATCTTATTTCAAGAAATAATAGTTGAAAACTTCCCTAATCTGAGGAAGAAAGCAGACATCCAGGAAGCACACAGAACACCTAACAAAACAAACCAGGGAGGTACACAACAAGACACATAATAATTAAAACCGCATAAAGTAATGATAAAGACAGTCTTTTCTTTTTTCATTTTTTTTAAATCTTTCTTTATTTTTGAGAGAGAGAGAGAGACAGAGTGAGAGCAGGGAAGGAACAGAGAGAGAAGGAGGTGCAGAATCCGGAGCAGGCTCCAGGCTCCAAGCTGTCAGCACAGAGCCCAACGTGGGGCTTGAACCCATGAACCATGAGATCATGACCTAAGCTGAAGTCAGACGCTTAACCGACTGAGCCACCCAGGTGCCCCGATAGAGACAGTCTTCAAAGCAGCAAGAGGGGCCCCTGGGTGGCTCAGTCAGTTAACCATTCGACTTTGGCTCAGGTCACGATCTTGCATTTCATGACTTTGAGCCCCGTATTGGGCTCTGTGCTGACACTTCAGAGCCTGAAGTCTGCTTTGGATTCTGTGTCTCCCTCTCTCTGCTCCTACCCAGCTCATTCTCTCTTAAAACTAAACAAACATTTAAAAAAAAAATTTTTTTTTAAAGAAGCAAGAGAAAACTGTAACATACAAGGGAAACCTCATAAGGCTATGAGCTGATTTTTCAGCAGAAACTTTACAGGGAACAAAGGAGTGCTATATTAAAAGCACTGAAAAGAAAAGACCTACAACCAAGAATACTCTACCATGCAAGATTAAAATTCAGAATAGAAGGAGAGACAAAGAATTTCCAAAACAAGATAAAGGAGATCATCATTACCAAACTGGCCTGACAAGAAATGTTAAAGAGAGGGGAGGAGGCAAGATGGCGGAAGTGCATGGAAGCTTTTTGCATGTCTCGTGTCCACGAAATACAGCCAGACCAACACTAAACCATTCTACACACCTAGAAAACTGATTGGATTAACACAACAATCTGCACAGCCTGAACCACAGAATTCAGCAGGCACACGGCGTGGAGAGCTGAACTTGGGAAGCGAGAAGCCGTGGAAGGTAGGGAACCACTTTTGCGGGTGGAGAGAGGATGGAGACCGGAGGCGGGGGGGGGGGGCACGGATACGGGAAAAGTATCTAAAAGTATCTAAAAGCAGCTAGAGGACAAAGTGGAAAATTGGAAACAGCCACAGGGACTAAATTAAAAAGGGAGAAAGGAGAGGGTTTAAATTCCATTAAGACTGTAAACAAGGGGAGCACAAAGGCTGCAACTCAGCCGCTCAATACCTGGCGGTGCTCCGGTGGGAAGGGCGAATCCCCAGGAACAGAGTGGGGTCTGGGAGGTTCTTGGGCCACACAGGGAAAAGTGGTTCCACTGATGAAAGGACATTTGGTAGAGACTGTTGAAGCCACCTGGTCCCAGTAGACCCCAGAAGGCAGCCACATTCGCTGGTGCTGGGGCAAGGCCATTGAGAGTGAGGCCTGGTGCCAGATGTGTGTTGTGATTTTCCATAATCCCTGAAATGCTGCTGCTACACTGTCTTGCGACCATTTTCTGGGACAGGCTTGCACCTGGCTGCAGCCTCAGGACATCGGCAACAGCAGGATACAGCGGGCGTTCCTGGGTGCAGATGACGTTCGGCCACTGCTCATTTGGCTATCGCTCAGTGAGACCATCGTGCAGAGGGGCACAATGGGTCAAAGCCACAGTCCTTCAGAAGTAAGGGGCCAGGGAAAACAGCCGCATCTGAGACAAAACTTGGGAGAGAGGTACTGCCTGGGGCCTGATCATGGAGAGTGAAAAAGCGGAGAGTGGACAAGAGCTGAAGACAGAGGATGGGTGTGCGATTGCTGATCCGGGAGAACAGACTGGGTAGTCGCAAGGCACCATTTTCTCCACTCCCGTGCATGCGCATATGCACCTGCAAGTGCCGCAACAATCCACCCCAATAGGCTAGCAGCGCCATCTAGTGGAGAGCAGAGCTGTTACACTGAGCCCCACCCAACTGGGCCAACCTTGCTCTTTAAGAACACAAGTCTCACCATCGGCTTAATTTACGGACTATAAAGAGCTACATAGACTGACTTCTAGGGGAAAAAATGAAACAATTTCGGTCCTACTTCAATCTGTTAGCAGGTTCATCTATTCACTTTTCTTTCTTTTTTTTCTTTTTCTCTTTTACAATTCTTTTCTTGAATACAGAAAAAGAAAAAACTCATTTTTATTTTCAATTCTTATTAAAAATATCTTTTATTTTTATTACTATATTTTTTACTTTTGTGTAAATTTTTTCAAATTGTATTTTACTTCCATCATTCTAGTCTACTTCAGTGTATTCATACAATCTTTCAAATTTTCATACAATCTTTTTTTCTTTCTTTTTCTCTTTTCCATTTCTTTTCTTTTTCTTGAATGCAGAAAAACTTCATTTTTACTCTCAATTTCTATTAAAAATATTCTTATTTAATTTTTGCTACTATATTTTTGGCTTTTATGTAAATTTTTTCAAATTCTATTTTACTTCCACCATTTTATTTTAGTCTACTACAGCGTATTCACTTTTTCAAATTTTCAAACGATTTTATTTTTTCTTTTTCATTTCTTTTCTTTTTTCTTAAATACAGAAAATGAAAAAATTCATATTTATTTTTAACTTTTATTAAAAATATTTTTTCTACTATATTCTTGATTTTTGTGCATATTATTTCAAATTCTATTTTACCCCCATCATCTCATTTTAGTCTACTTCAGTGTATTCATTTTTTCAAATTCTCAAACGATTTCCTTCCCCCCCCCCTTTTTTTTTCTCTAATCTGTCAAACCACTTTCAACACCCAGACCAAAACACACCTAGGATCTAGCATTATCTATTTGATTTGTGTGTATGTGTGTGTTTTTAATGTTTAACTTTACTATTTTTTTAATTTTAATTTTTTTAATTTCAATTTTTCTACCTCATTAATTCCTTTTCTCCCTTCAAAATGACAAAACAAAGGAATTCACCCCAAAAGAAAGAGCACGAAGAAACAACAGCCAGGGATTCAACCAACACAGATACAAGCAAGATGTCTGAACCAGAATTTAGAATCATGATAATAAGAATACTAGCTGGAGTCGAAAACAGATTAGAATCCCTTTCTGTAGATATAAATGAAGTAAAAAATAGCCAGAATGAAATTAAAAAAGCTTTAACTGAGCCGCAATCATGGATAGATGCAGCAGCGGCAAGGATGGACAAGGCAGAACAGAGAATCAGTGATATAGAGGTCAAACTTATAGAGAATACGAAGCAGAAAAAAAGAGGGAGATTAAGGCAAAAGAGCATGATTTAAGAATTAGAGAAATCAGTGACTCATTAAAAA